TTTTGATGCACATAAGTTTTTAATTTTTAGTATGTCCCACTCATCTATTTTGTCTACTTTTGTTTGTGTAGTTTTCAAAATGTTTGGTGGTCTGTGTATTCCCTGAATTAGTGCCCTCACATTTGTCCCAATTTTTCCATTGATGGCCTTCATAATTCAGGGATTCTCATTTAGGTTCTTTATCCATGTTGAGTTAGTTTTTGTATAAGGCATGAGGTAAAGGTCTTGTTTCAGTCTTTTGCATATCGCTTTCCAGTTCTGCCAGCTCCATCTGTTGAAGAGACTATCACCTCCCCATGTAATAGGTGTTTTGTCAAAAATCAGTTGGCTGTATGTGGATGGGTTAATTTCTGGATTCTGGTCCATTGATCTATGTATCTTTCATTGTACCAGTACCAAGCTGGTTTGACCACTTTAGCCATTCAGTATATTTTGAAGTCGGGGAATGAGAGGCCTCCAACCTTATTCTTCTTCTTAAGCAGTGCTTTGCTCTTCCTGGGTCTCCTTCCTCTCCATATACAGTTTGTAATTGTTTTTTCCATTCTCTTTGAAGAATGTCGTTGGAATCTGGATTGGGATTGCATTATATGTGTAAATTGCTTTGGGCAGTATTGACATTTTCACAATATTAAGTCTTCCTATCCAGGAGCATGGTACATTCTTCCATTTTTATAGGTCTCTTTTGGTTTCTTGTAGTAATGTTTTCTATGTATAAGTCCTTTGTTTCTTTGGTTACATTTATTCCTAGATATTTCATCCTTTGTAAGGATATTGTAAATGGTATTGCTTTCCTAATGTCCTTTTCAATGGTGTCAGTTTTGGTATAGAGGACAGTATGCTTTTTTAAGAACTATCTACATGGGATCAAATTGATAACAGAAACTCAAAATTTTGGATCGGAACTTTAGGGGCCACTGGGTTTATGATAATGAGGGAGGAACAGATCAGAAAAGTGGGGTGAGAATGGTTGTACAACTCAAGGAATGTAATCAGTGTCAGTAAATCATACATGTAGAAACTGTTGAAGAAATACATGTTTTGTTGTGTGTATTCTCAACAACAAAGTAAATAATTTGGCAGAATCTAAGAGGGTTTAAAAATGTGCATTGTCTATGACTCAGCAGTTACTTTTCTAAGTGGTTCTCAAAATTTGGTCCCTAACCAGTAGCATTTGTATCACTTAGAAGAAGGTTGGAATGCAAATTCTCAGTCTCCAACCTAGACATCCTGAATCAAAAGCTTTGGGGGTCGGACCCAGTTATTTCTTTTAATGAGCATTCTATATGTATCGAATGCATGCTGAAGTTGAAGAACCACTGTGCTGAAGAAACACTAGTACAGGTGGCCAAAGAAATATGTTTAAGACTGCTGCTGTAGTGGTTTTTGAAGTATCAAATTAGAAAGAACCCAGTTAATCTTCAGAAAGTAAATGGATAAATCGTATGCTCATACACATATTATACTGCAGTTACAATCAATTAACTTGTGTCAACATGGATAGCTCTTACGGCATATTGAAGGAGAAAAGACAGTTACAAATAAATATACCCTGTATGTAAGTGACAGTGCAAAATATAGTGCATTATTTGCAAATACATAGAGAAGTCATAGTATAAAAAAAATGGACTAAACATGCAATGAATTTCTGACAGTGATTGTTTCTGAGGAAGGACAAATGGGAACATTAAAGCCAAACCCATTGCTGTTGTGTTGATTCTTTGGTTTTGTGGCTGTCTTCTTTATGGAAGTAGCCTGCCTCATCTATCTCCTGTAGACCAGCTGCTAGGTTTGAACCGCTGACTGTTTGGTTGGCTTAGCACTTAGCCACTGTGTCAACATGGGTCTTAAATATGAATTTGTATAGTACAATTTTATCTATGTTTTATTTCTTTAAGAAAAAATAAACAAGTTACCATTAGCCAGTGGTGCATGGGGGGCCTTGTAATCATTACAAAGGGACAAAATACGATTGGTTGAGTGTTAAACCGACCTTCTCCCATATAGACCATCACTCAGTTTACAATAAAAGCTTAAAACAAAATAAACAATATAAATATTGGTGATGATGAAAACATTCTGGAAGTAGATAGTGGTAAAGATTGCATATGTTGTGAATGTAATTAATGCCACTGGATTGTACACTTAAGATGGTTTAAATGGAAGATTTTGTGCTATACATATTTTACCATACACAAAGTACAAAAACAATAAAACTAAAGACTTATAATGGGAATAGTAATTTTAAAAAGACCATATAGGGATAGGGAAATGAGCTAAAACAAAAAAATAAAACAAAATGCTAGTTTTTGTTATTTTAGTCTGTGAGTAATAGTGTTTTTTAAAGAAAAAAGACGTGGCTATACTGTTGTTGTTGTCAGGTGCCATTAAGTTGGAACCGACTCATAGCGACCCCATGCACAGCAGAATGAAACAATGTCCAATCCTGGGCCAACCTCACTACCGCCACCACACTCGATGCCATCAATGATGCCACCTGGCCGATCTATCTCGTTGGGGGTCTTCCTCTTTTTCTCTGACCCTCCATCTTACCCAGCATGACATCCTTTTCCAGCGACTGTTCCCTCCTTACAATATGTCCAAAGAATGAGAGACAAAGCTTAGCCATCTTGGGCTCCACTCTGGCTACACTTCTTCCAAAACAGATCTATTGGTTCTTTTGGCAGTCCATGGCACTTTTAGTATTCTCCTCCAACACCACAACTCAAAGGCATCAATTCTTCTACGATCTTCCTTATTCACTGTTCAGCTTTCGCATCCATATGAGGTTATTGAAAGTACCATGGCCTGAGTCAGGCGCACCTTAGTCCTCAAGCTGACATCTTTGCTATACTAACTATACTAAATATCAAAATTTACTATAAATAAAGTCAAGTTAATGAAAACTTGTTCTGCTTTACTTTTTTAGACAAAGACAAGTAGATCAGTACAACAGAAGGAAAGAGAAAAAATTCAGACTTTAGCTTTCATGTATAAATTTTAAAAATAAAGTTTCATGTATTTTTCCTTTGCAGTTAGTATATGGAGAATATAAATAATTTGGTTTGAAAATGTCTAATATGTGTACATTTATTTATTTTAAGAATGATTTAAGGCTACAGATGGAAGCCCAACGCATATGCCTCTCTCTTGTTTATTCAACTCATGTGGATCAGGTTCGTGAACATATGGAAAATGAAAAAGATAAAGCTCTTCGCAATCTTAAAGAGGAACTTATTTCTGCTCAGGAGGAAGTGGTCAAGGAACTTCAGAAAATACATGAGTTAGAGCTACGGAATATAAAAACCCAAGAAATAGGTAAGTGATTCTGACGTTTTTGTTGTCGTTAGTGCTATCCAGTCAGTTCCGACTCACAGCAACATTATATGCACAACAGTTGTGCTAAATTGTAAGCACCGTGAGGTAAATAATTATGACTTAATGCCCCTGTTTCACTGTTCCTTTGTTGTCTTGGAACCCATAAAGGAAGACAACTTACGTTCCAGTCTGGGGGTCTTTTGTTCATGTAGACAGTGGAAGTTCATTAAGGTGCCTTTGAAAGGTAATGACACTGAAGGAAGTCACAATTCAGTGGGAAAGAACATGTAGAGAAAATGTAACCATTAGAAAACAATAGCAAAATTTATATAATAGAAGAATGACTAGAGACTGGAAGGAGAGGAGAGAAGTCTAGCACCCCTGAGAGGATGAGTAGGGTGTAGGGTGAATCTGTGAGCAGGAACAGGGACATTGTCATCTTAGAGAAGATTCCAGAGCCTTAAGCATAGAAGCATGAGACAGCGCAGCCATTTAAAAGAATTGTCAGGCAGAAGCCAGAGAGATCGGCAGGATCTAGATCAGAAGAACCTTCATATGCCCGGAATGAAGCATGCTTACACTGTATACTATTGGTGATCAAACCTGCTGAATCATTTTAAACAGGGAGTGGCATTGATGTTGTTTTTAAGATTGGAATGAATTGGGGATGGCAGGATTAGTGGTGGGAAGATGAGTTAAACAAGTTCGGCAGTAATTCTTATAAGCAATAATACAACATTGTACTAAGGCTGTGTCATTGAGAGTGGAAGGGAAGCGTTAACAAGATAGGTTGTGGTCTGCAGTTGATTTTAGCAGTGAGAGGGGGAGGAATTGATGATTTCTAGGTCTCTGGCTTGTGTAACTGGATTAAGAATAGTTTTAGTCTCCAACAGTTACAGAACAAGTTACCACTTCTTACATTCTGTGATTCTAAATTGTTCTATATTTAAAGACATAAAATTGGTAGGTTTAGGGGCATTACAGCCATGCACTACAGAAGAAATAACCTTTCATTGCATTGTTTGTGTTTTCCTGTTTTAATCAGTCAAAATGAATGTAAATTGAAACTTGAGTTATTACTAGAAAGCATTTTTCAAAGAAAAGTGAATATTCTCTTTAAAAAAGTGATTATGATATTTTAGTAAGAAAATTACATTGAAATGTCTTTTCTTTTATTCATATAACTTAGATGTCAGTCATAAAAACAAGTTATCTTCTCTGCAAGATAGCAAAAATATCAAACAACTTGAATTGCAAGTTGAAGAACTAGAAAAGCTCACGTCCTCTTTGCAGCAACAATTGAAAGAAACTGAAGAAAACTCTGCAGCAGAGATTCATTCTTTGCAGGAAAGGCTTCAGGCTGTTAATGAGTCTTCTCTTCAGCCAAGGTATCTATCTGCTTATAATTTCATTCAGTAATATTTTAGATCAATAATAATCATAGTAAGAGTCTGGTGCTGTGGTGGGTTACACGCTTGGCTACTGCCTTCAAGGTCGCATCTACCAGTTGCTCTTTGGGAAAAAGCTGAAGCTTTCTGCTCCCCTAAAGATGTCTAGCCTCAGAAACCCTGTACAGGGTTGTTGTAAGTTGGAATCACATGACTTAACAACAACAATAGTCATAGTATTATCCCAGAATGGTTTTATGAAAAATAGATGTTAACAGAGCAAAGTTCCTTAAAAAAAGATGAGATGTAGCAGTATCAAGAAATAAAATGAGTGATATTTCCAGATCTTTGAAATAAATGAAATAAGTGTCAGTATTGGACAGGCATATTATTACAGGAATTTCACTACACATACATGAAGATACTGATTGTTATTCGTATTCTGGCTTTAATTAAGCAGCTTGCATTTGGTTAATATGCTGTGGGGACTATAAAGTATGATCCTACCCATTACGACTGGACTTCTTCCACTTGGCTGGCTAGGGATCAAGAAATCCCATGATGACAGGGTTAAGTGCAGGGCAACTAACTAAACGGTTGGTGGTGTGAACCCACCATGAGAATCCTTAGAAGAAAGTACTGGCAAATTGCAGCTCTCTGAAACAAATAGAGTCTCCATTAGTCGGAATTGACTCGGTGGCAACTGGTTTGGGTGGTTTGGTTTTGTTTTTATCAATAGCTCCATGTCATATATTTTAAAGTAAAAATGGCACAAAATTTAACGGTGATTTTTTAAAATACTATATAATTCAATTCTGTTACTTGTAAGTGAGAAACTAGTCAAAATGCCATTCGATTTATAAGATTTACAGCCTTGGAAACCCTGTACAGGGTCATTGTGAGTCAGAACCGACTCGATAGCACTTAACAATGACAAAAGACATTAACCAACCACCTATCATTTTTGCTTTCCCTACCCTAATCCACAGGAGCCCTCATGGTGCAGTGGTTACACGCTCAGCTGCAGTCCAGTGATTGATAGTTCAAACCCACCTAGTCACCCCATGCCAGAAAGGCCTACAATTTTCTACCATAAAGATTGCTGCCTAGAAAATCATAAGGGCAGTACTACTCTGTCACATAGAGTTGCTAATGGAGTCTAAATAAACTGTATGTTACATAACATCCCCAATACATATGTTATACACATTGTAAATTTGGATTAAAGATAAGACACAAACACAATTCTAATTCTTTTGCACTTTTTACTTACATTTAGCTTCTCTGCTAATTCAATGGTAATTACTGACTCTGATGTACGGAAAACAGTTTACCCTGGAGGTTGTCTTCAACAGAATATTGATGGTGCCATCGAGGTATTACATCTTTAAATTGTTATACATACTGATCAGCTTGTTTTTCTTACTATCATTTTTATGTTTGGTTTCCTAATTATTCAATAAATATGTAGTTGCTGCAAAGTAAGTATAGTACATATGAGGATAATACCTTCTATACAAGATCCAGAATATATATAAGTAATTTTGATGTATTTTAGTAATATGGGAAAACAGAGTAAGCTAAATTTAAGGGCTTTTTAAGGTTTTTCATTTAATTTTATTTCGTTTTTCTAGAGATATACACAGCAAAATATACACCGATCCAACAGTTTTTAGATGCACCGTTTAGAGAACTAATTATATTCTTTGGGTTGTGAGACATTCTTACCCACCTTGTTTGAATTGTGCTTTGCCCATTAGTAGACATTCAGTGTACCCCGCTTGGCCATGGTGTGACTCATATATTGTGGGATTCTGTTTGCTGGCATTTTGTTGAGGATTGTTGTATCTGTATTTAGGAGAGATACTGACCAGTAGTATTGTTTTCTTGTGGTGTCTTTGTCTGGTTTGGGTATCAGGGTTACACTTGCTTCATAGAATAGGAAGTATTTTTTCTTCTGGCACCAGGACTTTTTTGGTGTTGGGAGGTTTTTGATCATTGATTCTCTCTTAACCTGTTATAGGCCTATTGAGACTTTGTATTTCCTCTTGAATCAGTTTCAGTAGGTTGTATGTTTCTAAGACTTTGTCTATTCCACCTAGGTTTGTTGCCATACAGTTGTTCATAATACTCTGTCAGAAGTCTCTATTTCTGTTGGGTCAGTTTAATGTTCTCTCTTTTCATTTCATATTTTGGTTATTTGCATCTCTTTTTTTCCTTTGTCAGTCTATCTAAAGGTTTAATGGTTTTATTTATCTTTCAAAGAACCAACTTCTGGTTATATTGATAAGATTTTTCTGTTTTCAGTTTTATTCATTTCTGTTCTTATCTTTGTTGATTTCTTTTTTCTGGTAGGTTTGTTGTTGGTGTTGTTAAGTGCTAGCAAGTCGGTTCTGACCCACAGCAACCCTGTATAGGGTTTCCAAGGAGCAGCTGGTAGGTTTGAATGTCAACCTTGCAGTTCAAACTGACCTTCCAGTCCAGCGCATTATCCTTCAGTGCCACCCTAGGACTTCAGCTTAATTTTCTAGTTCCTGGAGTTGTTGAGTTAGGTTGTTAATTTGAGGTCTTTTTTAATTTATTGTTTTCATGTAGGTAGTCATTGCTATAAATTTCCCTCTCAGTACTGCCTGTGCTGACTGCCATAAGTTTTGGTATGCTGTGTTTTCATGTTCATTTGACTCTTAAGAAATTTATTATTTCTCTCTTGGTTTCTTCCTTGACCCATTGATAATTTAATAGCATATTGCCTAATTTCTATATATTTGTGTATTTTCTAGGTTTCTTTTTTTTTTTTTTTCTGTTACTGATTTCTAGCTTTACTTTGTTGTGATTAGAGAAGGTACTTTGTATAATTTCAATCTTTTAAATTTTATCAAGACTTGTATTGTGACCAAACTTGTTATCTGTCCTTGAAAATGATCCATGTACACTGGAGTAGAATGCGTATTGTGGCTATTTTGGGGGAGAATGTTCTATATACATCTGTTGAGTCTAGTTGGGTTTGTAGTGTCATCCATATCCTCTGCTTCCTTATTGATCTTCTTTCTTGATGTCCTGTCCAGTATTGCAAGTAGTGTATTGAAGATTTCCAACTGTTACTGTAGCACTATTGCTCCCTTCAGCTCTATCAATGTGTGTTTTATAAATAAGGGGGCTTCAAAAATTTCATGAAAAAGTAGAATTAAAAAATAACGTATTTTTTCCGCTAATATTTTGAAATCCCTTGTATTAGGTGCCCCAGTGTTGAGTGGGTATGTATTTATGATTGTTAGATTTTCTTAATTAATTTACCCTTTTATCACTATCATCTATCTTCATTTCTTCTATCAAATTTTGTTTTAAAGTCTATTTTGTCGGATACGATTGCCACTTCAACTCTTATATGAATATTATGTGGAATATTTTTTTCCATCCTTCCACTTTCAGTCTATTTGTATCCTCGGGTTTAAGGTGTGTACTTGTAAATGCCTTATAGTTGGATTATACATTATTATTCATTCTGCCCTTCTCTGCCTTTTGATTGGAGCATTTAGTCCAAATATTGATAAGTGATTTACTTCTGCCATTCTAGTTGTTTTTTTGTGTGTGTCTTAAGCTTTCTGTGGCTTTGTCCTTTACTAGTGCTTGCTTTTGTGTTTTGTTAATTGATTGCAGTGAGTCTTTTTGGTGCCCGTCTCCTTTCTTACTTTGTATGTTTTTAATATATTTTCTTACTGGTTACCATAAATTAATAGCTGGTATTTGTAACATTATAGGGTAAACTGATAAAAACTTAACTGCAGTAATGTACAATAAATTATATAGAAAGGAACTTCAAAAAATTCATTGAAAAATCCCATTATGTTTTAATTCAAAATTACATACACTTTTTTCAGTTCATTTGTACCTCCCCTCTTGTTAGTATCATTAACTACGTCTTTTTATGTCATGTGCCTTAATTTTTTTTTTTTTAATTGTGAATTGAGTGATCGTTTACATGGCAGAACATCAGCTTTACACTCATAGTTTCATTGCAATGATTACAGTCTTCTCTGTACACCATCATTCAACATTATTTGCTTCCATTCTTTTTGTTAATTTGGGGGAAGTGGGTGGAGGATGTACACAAAAACACTCAGGAATAATTTAAACAACCAATGGGCACATTCTGTAAGCTTGCCTCCTAGCTGTCAACACTCAGTCTTTCTCTTTCCATAAGTCTAGAGTCCTCAGCTGCTCTCTCCCCCCCTGTCCTCATCTCTGCCTCCATCTCTGGTGTTGCTGCCTCTCTGGATAGGGTCCCACATTCCGCTTGTACTCTTCTCTCTTGATGGTCCTAGGGTCCTCTGTACCTGGAATGTAAGATTAACTACTCCCATCTTTTTGCCTATAGCATAATTTTGTCCTTCCATTTTATGTATTACTAAAAACATGAAAGACAAATATTTAAAATTATCAAGCATGAATACTTTATTGAGAGCCTTTTTACTTGTTTATGGGGGGATGTGGTGAATCTGTAGAATAAACACTGCACTGGGAACCATAAGGTTAGTAGTGCAAACAACCAGCTTCTCTACAAGAGAAAGATGAGGTTTTCTTGTACCCACAAAGATTTACGACCTTGGAAACTCTGCACAGGGTTGCTATGTGTCAGAACCAACTTGAAGACACTTAACACCAACATAACTTGTTTATGCATTTCAATTTATTTGGGATCTTTCTTTTTATGTGTAACTTAGAATTTCATTCTAGTGCCTTTTCCCTTTCAAGAACTCTCATTATAATTTTTTGTAGGGTCAGTCTGGTGTATGTGAACTTTCTCAACTTCTGTTTGTTGGGTAATAATTGAATTTCACCCTCATTTATGAAAGATTAGTCTTTCTGGGTGTATTATTCTTGGTTGGTGCTTTTTTTCTTTCAACGCTTTGAACACGAAAGGGCTTCCAAAAGTTCCTAGGAAAATGGAATTAAAAGATAATAGAATTTTCCTGTGAACTTTTGAGACCCCTCATATATCATTCCATTGTTTCTGGCTTTCAGTGTCTCTGAGGAAGAATCCACTTTTAATCTTACTGTGTATCTTTGTATATTACTGTTTCTGTCACTGTTTTTAGGATTCGCTGTCCTCAGTTTCTGAGATCCTAACAATGATGGGTCTTTGTATAGATTTCTTTAGGTTTATCCTGCTTGGGGTCCTATGAGCTTCGTGTATTTGTACATTCCTATCCTTTGTTAGATGGGGAAATTTTCTGTCAGTATTTCTGAAATATGTTTTTTTATTATTAATTTTCTTCTTTTTGTCATCTCTCGTCTCCTTTTGGTATTCTCATGCTGTGTATAGCAGTTACCTTCTTGTTGCTCAGTAATTCTGTTAGACCATACTCAGCCTTCTCAAGCCTCTATTCATGTTGTTCTTCAACATCTTTAAATTTAACTATCTTATCATGTAATTTGTTGATTCTTTTGTCTGCTTGGCTAAATCTCTTGGTAAGTTTATGTTTCTCGTTTCAGTTATTGTCCCTTTCCATTGCAGTATAACTTTTTTTGGATCATCCTTTTGTTCTTCCATTATTTTCCTTACTCATTTTAGCTCTTTGTCTACTTTTCACCATAGTTCCTTCATTATAGTTAGTGTTGTATTTTATTCTTTCAATTAAAATATATCTGGTTTTCCCTAGATGCACTTTTTCCATGTTCATTTGTATGAGCCCTTGTTTGTCTTTTCTTTGTGTACTTTGTGATTTGTTGTTGTTATTGTTACTAGGTGCTGTTGAGTCAGCTCCAACTCATAGCGACCCCATACACAACAGGACAAAACACTACCAGATCCTGCACCATCCTCACTGTTGCTTCCATAGTGTCAGTTCCTTTTGTTGGGGGTCTTCCTCTTTTATTCTGACCCTCCAATTTACCAAGCATAATGTCCTTTTCTAGAGACTGATCCCTCCTGATACTATGTACGAAGTATGAGAGACAAGGTCTAGCCAACCTTGCTTCTAAGAAACATTCTGGATGTACTTCTTCCAACACAGATTGGTTTGTTCTTTTGGCAGTCCATGGTAATTTCAAAATTTTTCTTAAGTACCATAACTCAGATACATCAATTCTTCTATAGTCTTATTTATTCATTGTCATTTTCACATGCATACGAGACAATTGAAAATATCTGGCTTGGGTCAGGTGCACCTTAGTCCTCAAACTGATGTCTTTGCTCTTGAACACTTTAAAGACGTCTTGTGCAGCAGATTAGCTTAGTGCAAATACATCATTTGATTTCTTGACTGCTGCTTCCATGAGTGTTGATTATGGATTCAAGAAAAATGAAGTCTTTGACAGCTTCAATCTTTTCTCCATTTATCATGATGCTATTTATTGGTCTAATAGTGAGGATTTTTGTTTTCTTTACACTGAGGTACAACCCATATAGAAGGCTGTAGACTTTGATCTTTATCAGTAAATATTTTATGTCCTCTTTGCTTTCAGCAAGCAAGGTTTTATCATCTGCATATCTCAGGTTGTTAATAATGTTTTCCTTGAATTTTGATGCCATCCTCTTCTTCATATAATCCAGCTTATTGTATTATATGCTCAGCATACAAATTGAACATGGTGAGGTCACTGTATATAATCACCTTTTATGTTATTTTAAAAAGGTATTTGCAAAGAAGTCATTGATCTTGCAAAATTCTATCATCGCCAGCAACGTTTCTATTACCAAGGTTATGTTTTCCTACTACTGATCCTTTCTCTTTGTTTCCAACCTTTGCATTCTAATCACCAGTAATTAAAAATATATCTTGACTACACATTTGGTCAATTTCAGACTGAAGAAGTGGGTAGAATTCTTCAACTTCATCATTCCTGGCTTTAGTCATTGGTGCATAAATTTGAATACCAGTGGTATTAATTGGTCTCCCTTGAGGCATATTGATATTATATCATCACTGACAGCATTGTACTTCAAGATAGATCTTGAACTACTCTTTTTGATGATGAATGCAACACCATATCTCTTGAATTTGTCATACCTGGCATAGTAAACCATATGACTGTCAAATTCAGGATGGTCAATACTAGTCCATTTCAGCTCACTAATGTCTAGGATAACTATCTTTATGCATTTCACTTCATTTTTGACAACTTCCAAACTTCCTATATTTGTCCTTCATACATTCTACATTCTGCTTATTAATGGATGTTTGCAGCTGTTTCTCCTCACTTTGAGTTGTGCCCCATCAGCAAATGATGGTCCTGAAAGTTTCCTCCGTTAGAATCATCACGTTCAGCTTTACATTGAAGAGGCAGCACTTCCCCAGTCACATTTGAGAGTCTTCCAACCTGTGAGGCTCATCTTCCATCACTCTATCTGACAATATTCTGGTGCTGTTCGTGTTTTCATCGTCCAGCACTATATCTGTCAGTGTTCTGCTTTCTATGTTTTCAGTGGCCAAACATTCAGAAATAGTCTGCCTCTTCTTCTTCTTCCTAGTCTGCCTTAGTCTGGGAGCTCTGCGGAAATCTGTCCACCATGGGTGACCCTGCTGGTGTTTAAAATACCGGTGGCATAGCTTTCAGAATCACAGCAACTCACAAGCCACCACAACAGTACGACACACTGACAGACAAGTGGTGGAGGGTGTTAACTTTCTGAGTTTTCCCCAGTACTTTGGTGTTTTTGCTACCACTTTCTGTAAGAAACTCTGAGGCAGGAAAACCTTCAGCCTTTGCTTACTACTCTTTATTCTCCCTCTCTGTGGTAGTTCCTTTTCCCTCCCTGGTTTAATTAGGATTTGAAAGTTCCAGAGCTCAGTTTTTAACTTTCAGTTTCTCCCAGACACACAAGTGAGGACACTGTTTAATCCACCAGTGATTACTGTCTCTCAGGTGAGATCTGTACTCATCATTCTGTCGACTAAGGAATGCAGTCCCCTCTCTGGTTCTTTCCCTTTCTCTTTCTATAACCATGTTTTTAGTTTGAAAACACCCCCCCAGCAAGTCCCCTTCACAGCTGGGTGTTACCCTCCTGTTTCATGTAAGGCTTCCTTCCCTATTCTGTTGAGTTTACTTATAACCAAGCGGCATTCAGGGGATGCACAAGTAGACGTTCCTCCATTTCAGGAGGAGGCAGAGCTGGCACTCTCCAGAAGGACCTCCAAGTCATCTGTCTTGTTGGTTTCAGAGTATTAATGGCCCTGTGGTGATTGGCACAGAATTCTCCAGTTTGTTGATCCATGTGTTGGCTTCACTGTAGGGAACCTTATATGGGAGTTCATATTAGTCTGACTGCAAACAATTCCTGGTTGGGGAAGATGTCCATTTGGAAGGGACCTTAGGGAGGTCTGCCTTACTGCTATCAGAACCCTTGCTGTAGTATGTTGACTGTGGGCATAGTCTCCACCCTTGATGCCTGATTCCTAGCACACAGCAGCTGCACCCTGCACTCCTCAGCACCAGCTAGAAGGTAAAGCAGACAAACCTCAACTGATCCCCATGGTTTCAGAAGACTGATTCATGGTGTGCATTAGGTGCAGTATGGACTGTGGAACCAGATTCCAAAGTGGTGGCTTTCCAATGTGGTAGCAGATTGGAACAGCCTAGCAACCAACAATTCAGGTTGGGGAGGGGGTGTCATGATCCATAGGGCTCTCAAGGAGGTCTGCCTTTCTGCTCTCAGAGCCCTCCCTATAAAATGGTGCTGTGGGTGTAGTTAGTCTCCATTCAAGATCCCTGCTTCCTAGTACACAGCAGCTGCAGTTAGCAATCCTCAGTACTGACCAAAATGGGGAGTAGATAGACTAGAACTGACTCCCTGGGAGGTTTGTCAAAGGCCTGAAATATGGGATATACAGGGAGGCAGGTAGAATGTTAACTCATGAAAGCAGATGCCTTCTGTAGCAATTTGCAGCTGATGGTGTCCAGGTGGGGTTGGTGATGGCGCACTCCAAACAGACCCTTGGGGATGTCTGCCTTGTTGGTTTTAGAACAGAAACTTCAGGTCCCTGTCTCTTTGTACAGGCAGGGGTGATGGTAGTTGGGAAGAAGGCACTTTATCTGGGACCACTTCCTCACTTGACAGCAGCCTGTGGTCCACATGACTATGGGGAGTGAGAGAAATGATTTTCCTGCTATACGTGACTCTTTGATTTGCTGGTTCTTCCCACTGCTTTTCTCTGCTCCCTGATTCAGAATTTTTCAAAGCCAATTACCATTTCCTTATTTTCCTTGTTGTATTTGGGGTGTGTATGATGTGTTTAAGGAGCTCTGGTAGCATAGTGGTTACAAATCAGGCTGCTAACCTCAAGGTCAGCTGTTCAAAACTACCAGCTGTTCCACAGGAGAAAGATGAGGCTTTCTGCTCCCGTAAAGATTTACAGCCTCAGAAACTCTGTACAGGGTAGCTATAAGTCGGCACATAACCACCACCATGATGTGTTTGGAGTCCTGGTGTCGCACTGTGGATTAATGAAATGCGTTAGAATGCAAAGTCAATTTGAGCTGCAAGGTTGGTGGTTCAAACTCAAAAGCCACTCCTCGGAGACCCTACAGGGTTGCTATGAGTTGGAACTGACTCCATGGCACCTAACAACAACATTGGTATGTGTAGGACTATGGTCTGTTTATACCACCATCAACCCAGAATCCTTTTTTTTTTTTTTTTAAATATGTTCCTTTTTTATAATTGTCTTGTTTTGTATAACATTTATAGGCTGCGTAACAAATCATTTCAGTGTCCTGGCAAGCATAGCTTTTGTTCTCATCATGAAAAGTTGGCCCCAGGCATCTCAAGGATAGTGTTAAAGCATTCTGTTCCACACAGTGGTCACAGTCTGGGACAGTGAATGCAACTCCTCCAGCAGAGGCCATCTGTTACATAAAAGCCTTTCATCTGTTACGGTCCATGCCATCTAGTTAAACTACCCTCTGCCTCTCCTCACCGTCTCATGTGTTCTTAATTTGTGGTCACTCTTCTCAAACCCACAATTGCAAAATCCCAGTGTTTAATAGACTTTTAGTTCCTATGTTAAAGAGAAACCAAAGATTGTTTTCCTTTCTCATACTGTATTATGATACCTTATAAGTGGAGAGAGATTGGTCACATTCTTGATTGTTTCACACTCATCCCATATGGAGTGTCTATTTGATTAAAATTCAGATAATGGGTAAAGAAATACTTTCATGCTGAGAACATGTTCACATTTTTTTTTAATGGTTTTTTTTTTTCTGTTTGTAAAAGTAATTTGGATTTGTAGAATATTGCTTGCTGTCAATAAGTGGTGGTGGTTGTGATGTGCTGTGGAGTCGGTTCCGGACTCATAGTGACCCTGTACAGGGTTTCCGAGGCTGTAAATCTTTACGGGAGCAGAAAGCCTCATCCTTCTCCTGCGGAACAGCTGGTAGTTTCAAACTGCTGACCTTGCAGTTCACAGCCTGATTCATAACCACTACACTACCAGAGCGCCTTTGTCAATAAGTACCAGGGGGAAAAATTTGCTTATAATTTCACAAAGCTAGCCACTGTTAACATTTTACTTAAAATTAATGTGTATGTGTATCCACATGCATATGATTAATAGATAAGAAGTATCCATACCCTAAGGAGCCCTGCTGATGCAGTGGTTAAATGTTCAGCCAGTACCTGAGAGGTCATTGGTTTGAACTCAGCAGTTGCTTTGTGGAAGAAAGATGAGGCAGTCTGCTTCTGTCAGGATTTACAGCCTTAGCAACCCTATGGGGTAGTTCTGCTCTGTCCTTACAGCTTGCTATAAGTCAGAATCAACTTGATGCGAAAGGGTTTGGAGATTTGGGATCCCTCTTGGTGTGGCACTGTAGGATAAACATTCTTACCGCTAGGTCTGTTTGGACCACAGGTCTATGGTTCAAACTCATCACCCTTTCCTCGGAAACCCTATATGGGGTCTGAACCAACTCATCAGCACTTTAACAACAACATATATCCAAGAATTATGATTATTAAGAATTGTAAATATGTAAATTTATTTCTCTTTACATCTGTAGTTGTTAAGTTTGCAGTAGTAAGTACAATTATTTAGTAGAATTTGTTTTTAATTAAGATGGCAAAAGTAGAATTTGTCATATTTTGTTGATAAATTTTCCAGAAGTTTTCTAAGAAATAGTGATGTTTTGAGAACATTTTGAGGGTAGAAGTTAAAAATCAGCAGTGTCAAATTAGTGTAAATAAATGTCTTAACTTTTTAATTTAGCTTTCTGATGAATATGGAGTAAGACAAGAGACAAGGATGATAAAGTTGCTGGAAAAACAGTACCAAGAACAATTAGAAGAAGAAGTAGCTAAGGTAAGTTTGTCCTTTATCCTGAAGATGATTATAGTTGATAGTCCTTATAAAACTTAAAAACAAAAACAAAAACATAGATTTCATTGATAGCAATATATTTTTAAATAAATATGCCGTATATAGCTCATCTTTAAGTTGTCAGACGGTATCAACTCTAGTTTCTTCAAGTGGAATTATCTGTGTATTTTTCTCTCAGAAGTCATCCGTGTCTTGATATAGAATAATAGAAACTTCAGAATGAAAAAAAAAAAAATTAATCCTTATCTTGTTTTATTTGCTGGCCTTCAAGTAAGACTGAAGGAGTTTGCTGTTTTTTGAAGGGATGTGGAGATAAGGTAGGAGATGAGCAGAAAGTGGGCGACCCTCCATAAATTACTGTGCCCTGACCAATCCATGGAGTTACTGTGATATTAGACAGTGCTTGCAGGTAGTAGAGGAGGATTGCCTTAGAACCTTACCTACTAGCTAAGCAGAAGAGTTAATCATGTGAGTTTTACTTGGTTCTACATCTAAACTGCTATGCTCAGAGCCTTTCTTTTGTATTCATACATATCAACTGTATCACCTACTTTACCATTAGAGCACGATTTCTTTTCTCTTTATGTTCCCTTTTTAAGTCCATTTAACTTGAGTGGATGCATTATAATGAAACAGTTGAAATGTTTTAAAAGGGAAAGAAGGATTGAAAGATTAATGGGACATATACGAAATACATAAAGAATTAGGGAAAAAAAACTCAGTTAAGGAGTCCTGGTGTGGTACTGTGGCTTAATGCTCTGGACTAGAGTCAATTTGAACCTCAAGGTCGGCAGTTCAAGTTCACCACCTGCTCGTATTAACTCTATACAGGATCGCTATGAGTTGGAACTGATATGTATGTTTCACAGAGGATAGTTCCATGTATGTCTTTATATGTGCTGCAAATATATCCTGAAATATAGTAGCACAGGCAGGTGGCAATGTTATGCTTTTTAGTCATAATCAATCACCTTGAGTGAATTAGTCACGGAACCTGGGGTTTCTGGACCATAATCTTGGAGAACACCAAGGTCATCTGGCATAACATAGTCCACAAAGACAATGTTCTACATCCTACTTTGGTAACTGGGGTCTTAAAAGCTTGTGAGTGGCCTTTAAAGGTGCAAATATTGGTCACTTTCCTTCTAGAGTACAGAAAAATGAAGAAAATCAAAGATGAAAGGAAATAATTAGTTCAAAGAACTCATACATAACGTGGACCGTAGTCTCCATGAACCTGAGACCAAAAAAACTAGATGGTGCCCAGCAACCGCTACTGACCTGCTCTGAAAGGGATCACAATAGGAGGTCCTAGAGAGAATGGAAGTAAAATGTGGAACAAAACTCAAAATCATAAAGAAGATCAGAGTTACTGGCCTGATAGAGACTGATGGGACCCCTGAGAATATGTCCCATAGACACCTTTCAGGTCTTGAACTGAACTAACCACTGAGACTCATCTGTCAGTCAAATGATAGATCAGCCTATAAGGTGAACAGTAATACCCAGGAGCTACGTACCCATGAAAACAATCAACCATACAAGTTCAAAAGGGCAGCATTTGCCCAGGAATGCAGCCCAGAAGGCATCAAGGAATAGGAGAGAAGGACAAAGGAAAATGGAAGACACCGGGAGGATATAGGAAGCTTATTATTACTTTGTGGGGACTGCAGTCAATGTCACAAAACAAAATGTGTGTGAATTTTTCAATTGGAAACCAATTTGCTATGTTAAATTTTACCCAAATCACAATTAAAAAAAAAAAACTTCCGTTAAAAAAAAAGGTCAAGTTCCAAACGATTAATAATAGAATATCAGAAATGGACAATACATTAAAAGGGCAAAGGAATAGAATTGAAGAGATAGAAGCTAGAACTAGTGAGCTAGAAGATAAATCTCTCAAAACTACTAAGATAGAAGAACAAATACA